ATATGGCACTTGTACTCGCTTTTTCAATTATAGAATTACATTATGGTTCAAAGTATAATCATCAGTGTCCAATAAACCAAAAAATTCCAATATTTTTAATGGTACATGGTTCAGTCAAAATCTTTTGAGTGTTTATTGGTATATTAGCATTCCTTGTTGCTAAATTTCTTCGACAATATAACGAAGTACTAGCAATAAGGTTAATGTTAATCAATCTTATTATACAATTAATATGTTTTCTGTTTTTTTTCTCATGGTTTATAACTGGTAACGTATGGGTATTTAGCATTAAATCAAAAGTACAATCAAATAATCAATTTAACTGAGCAACATATTCCCAAGCACGAAAAAAAATCATGAAGCGGGCGCTGCATCTAGATTAAAAGGTACATTTATCTAGCTTCAGCTAGCTGCACAGAAATACATGAAAATTTTATCTAGCTTCAGCTAGATTGAATCTAGTTTCAATTGGGTACAACTAGTTGCTATCGATTAATCGGGCAATTCATTGCTCGATTAATTGGCCCATGCAGTGGCCGTTTCAGCTAGTACACAATTTCAACCAGCATGCAGCTAGATAAATGTACCTTTTAATCTAGTTAATCTAGCTGTAAGTGGGCGCTGCAACTACTTCTGCAGCTAGATTTTCTCGCTTACTTAGTTTTGCTTGGGTTGTCAGACGAATTTGTATCAAGCAGCATTTGGTCTTATTGTATCAACATATATTGTTTTTGGTATTATTACATTGATAACATTTAAACGAAGAGGTATTGGTAAAATGATACGTAATAAAATAGCAGCAAAAGGTACATCGGCAAATCCAACAATCACATATGCTAATAATCAATCGCATCCTTAAGATTTGTTACTTATGTTCATATGTCTGCTACTAGATTCGTTTTTTCCTACTTAGAATAACGTCATAACCTAAAAAGTAAATAGGAAAATCCGTGAAGTTTAGAAGCCATGGAAATTTGAACACAGTTTGAAAAAATGCTCGGATGTTCACTGAGCTTCGTACATCTTTGAGACAAACAAAAATTTGATATTGTGAGCCTTGAGTCATTTAGGAGATTGAGCCGCTTTTCATAGTATCGGCGATTCGTCTCCGTGGATTTTTTCCAGCGCTTTTTTGAAACTGTATATAAGAGTTTTTTCCTTCATACATGTTATACTTTTTCTTCTCTTGACTGGTGGTCTAGGGAAACGTCTCAATTCTCTTCATGACTTGTCACAGAATCATAATGATGAGCTTATGCTGCTGATTAACCTTAGGGTATTCAAGTGGTGTATTATTTGCTTAGAAGTTTGAACTCTCTTTTTTATGGAATAATAAAACTAATACCTATATGTTTTCTGTTTCTTGTTGTTTGTATAGTTTCCTTGGTTAGTACTCTAACCAACTACCATCAGCTATACTCTCTCACATCCTCCCGTTATTATCGGCCCGGAATGCTACCTTCACCTCCAGACGACCATGCTCTTGATCGCAGAACCACACAACTGTTTTATTCTTCATTTTTCTCCAGCCAGATCTTGTCCTGATAATTTAATACAGTGTTGGTTGATCGTAATTCATCAAGCTTTCTGACATAAACAGCGCGTTGAGCTTGAAATACAGTAGAGTCCAACACATTAGCCTCTGATGCTTGACGATATTTAAATCCAAGCGATTTCAAGATTAACCGACATCTGAGCGAAGCGGATCACTTATAGCTGAAAGACTGGCCACTTTTTGCAGTTTTGGACTAGCAGGTTTTTTATGGTTCCTCCTCTAGTGGTTCCATTGTTGTTGTTAGTTTCATCCTAACATTATTTTACTTTTTGAGTGAGAGCCTAACTTATTTTATGTATACATTTTCAAAATTGCTATTCCTTGTGTTTACCGACATCAGTTCCAACATTTGTTTTTATATCCTTCTTTTCCCAAACTCAACCAGATTTTGTCCATGGGAAGATTAGAGAGCATTTTTGAACCATGCCAAGACGTCCTTATCTAGTAATATTCCAGTGACGAATCTCTCACGTCTAACTCTTGGCTCGAGTGTTAGTTACCACTTCTATTTTACTTTTTACCCTCATCCTCACTACGACAAATTACTACAAACGAAATTGATAAGTAGATGCCCAGTCAAAAATAATATCAAGAGGAAGAGTATCATGGAGTACTCTTTTTGGAAAAAAAGAAAGAGCACTCTTTTTCCTAACAAAAATGCTCCAACTCAAAAGGGGTACTCCAAAAGCTACAACGGGAATACCCACAAAAAATGAGTACTCCTGAGTGCTGCTTTTTTTGAAGTGCTCCGCAGTACCTCAGCCGCACTTTATAAAAAGGAGTGCTCCGAAGCACTCCAAAAAAGAAGTACTCATGAGTACTTCGAATAAAACTTATAGAACTATCACTTATTAGGCGTACTCATGAGTACTTCTTTTTTCACGATGGTGATCATCATCGTTATTAATCCTTATCTCATTGAACAATCATTCCATTTTTCTGATCGGAAAAAGTCATATTGAAAAGTTTCTAATGTCGAGGTCGCTCAAGCGTCGGTTGACAGATTTCAATTATAGTTGTAACAAGCTTTCCGATTGTATAGAAAAGTCTGCCTCTTGGGCAAAAAGCGTTGACAATAAATTCGCTATGGTTGGATAAATTTTATCTTTCAATAACAAACGAAATTTTAATCTAATCGTTTCTTGTTAATATTCTGTTAACTGAATTTTCATACGTTTAACGTGCTCCTGTTTTTATGATGATAATGACGTTGGTAACTGACGAAGAGGAAGACATAATCTGATTGATCCTTCTTCAGCTCTTTCATCTCATTTTTCAATCAATACACTGATCTTTCTGATATGCTAAACGTGGCTAGATGTCGGTGGTTCACATTGTAAAGATGTGTGTGTGACGATTATTGGTCACAACCTTTACTTCCAATATGCACAGTTTATCATTAGACATGTATTTTACTTTTTTGCATTCTGTCTTCTCCTTTTTGGTAGTTCTGTTCTCCTTTTTCTTTTTCATTACCTTGATGTGTGTATCCGTGTCATTCGTACAGTAGAGACGCATGCTCTATATCCCGTTTTGAATCCAAATGTATCCTGATCAATATTGTATAGTCAAAAAACATATAGCCCAATCCGGATATAAATTCGATCTTTTTAAGTAAAGTTTAGCGAAAAAATCTTGATGTTCAAGTAACATTTGGATATCAACATTAGAAAGAGGAGGAAAAACTATACTACGTTCTCTTTCCTCACGGTTAACTCTTTGTTCCCATCGGTGACGTTTTTTTCAAACACAAGCGACTACTGAAAAATGTATATCGGATATAGCAGAAATTTGGTCCGCTGCAAAAATCTTAAATATATCCCGACTGGGCTAATATTCCGATTGGGATATGCTTTCTCACCGTCGTGCGAAGCATTTATAAATATACATAGATATACAGTATCGTGAAAAAGGACCAGATGCATATTGCATCTTACCATTTATCTTCTTGGCTTTTCAAAAGCTCGAAGAAAAAAATGATCAGGTGCATTTAGGGACTAGGGCGTGCTCTTTTCGAATATGCCATTGAGACTTCGTTAGCTTGCTTTTTTCTTGACAAAAAGTTTTTAAAAAGAAAGTGGTGGTTTTTGCTGTGAAAAATTATAGAACCACTCCGTTTTTTCTTTACCAGATGACTTGGAACAATTTCTGACAACATGACCCAAAAGATCATGAAAAACTAAGTATAATCAAGGTATTTTAGTCTCACACTCATACAGCCAGGATAGTTCTAGAGCTGGATATAAACCATTATTTGCATAATTTTCCATTTTCTATGGAAAAATCAAAAAAATTATTTATCTTTAACTTGTTCTCGTGCGTAAAGTATCTATTCAGTGTGCTATAGACCAGCGCAACCTCGCATTTTATAGATATAGCTTTGCTTTTTAAGATCAGAAAGGAGAAAGAATTTTTGCACCTCTGTTTGTGATGTAATTTCCTAAAGTAAGGGTTAGAGCGAGTGCAGACGAGTGTTACCCAGTATAAAAATCCATTCTTTAATTACTGCCAATTAGGTATGTTACAAACCCAAACTCAAGTCTGGACTTGGGTTAGGGTTTGGGTACCCAAGTCTCGGACTTGGTTTTGGGTACTGGGTCAGACTTGGGTTATTAAAAGACTCCTTTTAACTGAGATACCTTCTTTTGTTGTGGCTCTATGAGAAAACAGGATGTAAGATGTTTATTTCGGTCTGTGGGCATACGTAATGCCTAATGCTAACGATAAGAGCTCATTTTGGATTAGTTCAAATATCCAACAGTTGAGTGTTTTATTCTACTTATCTTGTTCATATCATCCTCATACTTGAAACAGAGAAAAATACTAAAAAAATAAGCACTGGTAACATGCCACAAATACGTTAACAAATGATCGGTGAACACTATAAAAAATCATATAACAGAATAGGGAAAACTAAAGAAAAAAAGTGAAGTTTTGAAAGCGAAAACAGCGACGACGAAGAGAAAAGATAAATGAATAGTATGGCAGAAGATCGTAAGGTACTACTGCTAAGTTTCATTGAAGAAGAATATTAATGTACTTTGGCAACTGACTCAAACCCAAGTCTTAGACTTGGGTACCCGAACCCAATACACCCAAGTCGCTTTGGCTTTGGGTTTGGGTTTGTGACACACCTACTGTCAATACGCGTCGGTTGAATAAGGCATGCTTATCTTTTCTTTTTTTTCTTATCTAGAGACAGTTACTGTTGACTTTTCCATTCTTTATGAATTTCTATCTGTTGTTTTTCTTTTGATAAGATCACAAGATATATGGAGCCGAAAAAAGTTAACCGTAAAAACATCGTTTCTAGTTTAAAAGTCGAACACGTTATTATTTTTCACGTGACCATTGGATTTTTCTTTTCTAAAATACATATTTGTGTTTTGCCACTCATAAATATATACACATAGAAGGGAGGTGTGTATAGGTTTTTTCATAAAGTATGCGTCATATTTTTCAGCTGTGTTTCATCAGGTGAGTTAAACAACTAAACATCAAGTTCAGAGTTGATTTCTGTCTTTGTCAATTAGCTTTATTTTCCCATTATTTATCAATTCAAAAACAGCTGCTGAATGGCGTACACGAACCATATATCAACTGTTAACTGATCGATTTGCTCATACGCCTGATGATACTGAGATAAATAAAAAATGTTTACATTCTCCTCTATCCTATTACGATATTCGACATTATTGTGGTGGCACATACAAAGGTATCATTTCTCATTTGAACTACATAAAACAGATGGGATTTGATGCTATTTGGATATCTCCCATAACAACACAAATTGAAAACGATACGCATTGGGGTGTAGGATGGCACGGTTATTGGCAACAAAATATTTATGGTTTAAATGAACATTTTGGTACAGAAAATGATCTTCGAACATTGATAAAAGCAGCTCATATACTTGATATTTGGGTAATGTTAGATGTTGTTGCTAATCATATGGGACCAAATGTAAATGGAACAGCTCGCTATGTTCCTAGATATTTATTATCATCAACCACCATGTCTGATTACTGATTATACAAATCAGAGTCAAGTAGAATTTTGCACAGTCGGTGATATTAACGTACCATTGCCCGATCTCAATACTGAACACGAATTTGTTGTTTCAACACTTAGTCAATGGATTCGAAATATTATTAATGAATATGAATTTGATGGTATAAGAATTGATACATTTCGTCATGTTCGAAAACCATTTTGGACAGATTATGTGTCTGCAGCGGGCGTCTATTCAGTTGGTGAAGTGGCCACATCTGACACGGCTTATGTTGGTGATTATCAACGATATGCCGATGGTGTTTTACATTATCCACTATATTTTGTTCTAAATGAAGTATTTCGAGATGAAAATAGAAAATCGATTCGAGAAATTGATAAACAAGTTCAATTAAATGAAGAATATTTTATAGATACAACATTGTGTGGATTATTTTTAGATAATCACGATCAAGCACGTTTTATGAATCATACAAAAAATATGATACTTATTCAAAATGCCTTAACCTATTTGATGTTCAGCGATGGAATACCCATTTTTTACTATGGTACCGAGCAAGAATATCACGGTGACTCGGATCCATAGAATCGTGAACCAATGTGGCATAGTAATTATTCACAATCGACTCCTATCTATCACTTCGTTAAACAATTACTTTCGCTACGTGCAATATTAAAATTAAATTATCCACAATACTTTTTGACACATCAACATACTGTTTATATTGATGACTCAACCTACGTCTATTACAAATATCCTGTTCTCATTATCGTATCAAATGATGATTTTGATCAACCAAAAACATTAAACATAACGATTAATATAACAGATTATATTGAGTTTTTTACAAAAACAAAAGTAAGAAGTGATCGGTTAGTTGTTAACAGTTGGACACCGATGATTTTGGTACCACAGGACAATCTAATTAGCTCGACACAACATCACTATTCAAAATGTATTTTCTCATATTATTTCTATTTGTTGTATTTCTTCACTATTTGTGCGTGAAACATTATATCGTCTATCAAAAAAATAATTTTTAATCAGAATTTGGATGGAGTGCGAAAAACATTTTCTACAAACTTTAGAATCAAAATAGGGAAAAGTATGCTTAGATTCGTAACGAGTTAAATTTATGAAATAATTTCCAAAAATCAGTATTATCAACTGTTATACTTTTAATACCAGGATGCGTAATTCGAGTGTTATGGGAATCTTGAGACATTTCTTAGACGATCTGAAACTGAGACTTCATATATTACGGAAGAATGACACCTGCCAGTGCAAAGATATAAATAACGGAATGACTGTTGCCATTCCCAGGGGTGACAATTACATTGTAAAAAAATAAAGTGTGTAAATCTTCTAAGCGTTCACTCGACGTCGAAAAGTCTGTGCTTTTCTCTAGATGGTCAATCTCAGTGTGTAAAGAACTAGGTGTGTTGAAAAGATTTCTTATTTCCTATTTTTCTTCAGAATTACTGCATCAATTGAAAAAAATAATTTCAGAATCATGATCACCATTTTCGAAAGTATATATGCTGCCGTTTCAAGCAAAACGGAGAAGAAAAATAAGTTAAAAAAAATCATGGTCGTATGATAGATTTGAACAATCAATTGATGAATCTGAAGCATTTACAGTACAGATAGTTTAGATAAGTAGACTATATCATTGGTCTCAATGTGTAGAGCCAGATGGTCACTTATCAGTATGTACTTTACACACCTACGCCTTACATCCTAGTCGGTCACTGGGAATAGACTTCGCGTTCACTTTATATATGTCATTTAAACACTTTATTTTTTACAGTGTAAGTTATTTATACCCTCAAGCAATTTTCACTGCCAAAAGGACTTTTAAAACAGGAAGCAAATGTCTTTATTTTGATTCTAAAAAAATGACAGTAATATGTCCCAGAGACTGCAACCAAAACTTTTCTCTATTATGTCGATCGATTTGGCTCAAGCTCGGCAAATCCTCGATATCGCCAGTTCAGTCAACTGAGGGTTGCTTATGTTCTTATCCCGTTATCAATACTGATGTCTGTGGTGGGTTTTTTGGATTACCTAGTTTTCTTTCAAATCCAAGATGGTTCATGCAAAACACAACCAGGAGTATATACACAATATTTTACTATATTTACACTGTTCTTCTATTTGCTGCCTGTATTATTTATTTTTATATCAGGTTGGCAAGAAAGGTTTTGCGTTTTTTTTAAATTCCCTAGAACAGCCGAGAAGGTTCTAGAAGTTTCCATACTAAGGGTATATAAAGGGGGTAGGAATATCTGTCGAACAACAACAAAACTATGGATATGGACGTTGATCTCGAATTAGAAATGAACGTAGAGAGCTCCGAGTACTTCTGCTTTATGAATTCCGTTTGGGTCACAAAGCAACGGAAGCAACAAGCAACATATGCAGCACGATGGGCAAGGATGCACTCTCCATTCGTACAGCGCAACATTGGTTCAATCAGTTCAGGAACGGCAAAACGTGGAAATATGGAGTTTGATACCACATGATTTATCATCGCATCAGCTCCAACACAGGGTTGATGTTTGTATGGAATTAATGACATCTCACCGCAACTACAAATGGCTCCGCAATCTTATTACTAGCGATGAGAAGCGGGTGTTGTATGTTAACCACACGCGCAAGCGACAGTGGCTGGAAGCTGGATAAACAGGTGTAGCAACGCCCAAAAATGACCTTCACCCAAAGAAGATTATGCTGAGTGTTTGGTGGGGAGTAAAAGGGATTATTCATTGGGAACACAATAGAGAGTACACACTGATAAGTGACCATCTGGCTCTACACATTGAGACCAATGATATAGTCTACTTATCTAAACTATCTGTACTGTAAATGCTTCAGATTCATCAATTGATTGTTCAAATCTATCATACGACCATGATTTTTTTTAACTTATTTTTCTTCTCCGTTTTGCTTGAAACGGCAGCATATATACTTTCGAAAATGGTGATCATGATTCTGAAATTATTTTTTTCAATTGATGCAGTAATTCTGAAGAAAAATAGGAAATAAGAAATCTTTTCAACACACCTAGTTCTTTACACACTGAGATTGACCATCTAGAGAAAAGCACAGACTTTTCGACGTCGAGTGAACGCTTAGAAGATTTACACACTTTATTTTTTTACAATGTAATTGTCACCCCTGGGAATGGCAACAGTCATTCCGTTATTTATATCTTTGCACTGGCAGGTGTCATTCTTCCGTAATATATGAAGTCTTAGTTTCAGATCGTCTAAGAAATGTCCGATATATTGAATAGCGATCAGCAGCAGTCGACGCCATCGACAGCCGCATCAAAACGAAAAGAAATCTCACCAAACAATCCAATCAAGTCGTCAAAAAATAAAATCAAAGACTCAAGAGCAGACATTAGCAATGATAATTAAAATGTGTCATATCAACGTCACCTCGATTAAAAAACACCAAGACTAACTCTATGCTAGATTTTACGACAACGACGTACTACCGATCAACGAAACAAACTTAAAGCCTCAAGATCATCTCAGTCTGCCAGGATTCAACATTTTTCGAAACGACCGAATGGACCAAAGCGGCGGAGGCGTCCTTCTAGCTGTCCGAGATAACATCAGATGTCACGAGATCCTCAACAAATCGGTCGATATGGATATGAATGAAGTCGTCCCTATTCAAATCGAGACATCAACTGGTCTACTACTTATAGCCTCAATCTATATCCCGCCAAAAGTGAAAATCAATAAACGGCTCTTCGAGGAGTTGTATCAGATCAACAACGACTGTCTCATTCTCGGAGATCTAAACGCAGCCCTACAGGCACAAGGATCGAAACGAACAAATTGGAAAGGACGTCAACTGCAAGAACTACTGGACGATGGATTTCTACAATGCATGGACAATGATCTTACCACATACGAACGAAACGAATATGAAGAGAAACTCGACTGGATAATCGCAAGTCAGCCAATCATCTTCTATATCGCTAACGTCAACACCCATCCACCATTAGGTTTACTCAGTGGTCACAAGCCACTAACGCTCAAGCTGTTAGCAGTGGCCGATCAAAAACCGCAGTCGCCGCGATGCGCATTCAACTTCAAGTCGGCGATCTGGTCCGTATATCGACAACAGCTAAACAGGCACCTTGCAACTTGGGACACAACGAAGAAATTGCAGACAATTGATGATATCGACTCATACACAAAATTTGTCACTGACTGTATTGTAACAGCATCGAAAGCAGCAATTCCACCTGCTAGACTATCACTGAAGCAGCCTGAACCCAGCGCAACAACGAAAAAACTAGTCAACCTCAAACATCAGGCGTATCGACAATGGAAGAAGAGCGATCGCAATGCCGACAAGAAACAATACTACAATCTAAAGTACTCGTGACAAATGCTCTCCGAAATGAAAGAATCGCCCGATTCAAGAAATTGATGTCGACCCTGAGCAGAAGAAAAATACATTCAGCTCAAGTGTGGGCAACCGTTCGAAAATATCACAACAAAAGGACAAAGCAATTGTACGCGAGTAAAATCAACTATCAAACTCAAACGGCTTCGTCCGACCATGAAAAAGCTGACCTATTCGTGACGTATTTCGAGAATGAAATGTTCGTTGCAAAGTCAGATCGACTTCCATTCCATCGTCAAGTCACAGAGCAAGCTGAACAAATAAAAATAAAAATGAAAACACAAAACAAACAGGCGCCACCGATCACAGAACGAGAAATCAAGACAATATTGAAACAACTCCAGAACAGCTCACCGGGTCCCGCCTCTGTTCACAATCGTTGTCTGAAGAATCACACTAAATCGCTCATTCAACATCTGGTTCGGCTCTTCAATGCTGTGATATCAGTCGGCCATATTCCGGCGATTTGGAAGGAAGCAAACATAATTTTGCTTCTCAAGCCGTAAAAAGACAAACAACTAACTTCTGAGTTGTATCGGAAAACTCCTTGGAAAGATTATTAAACGACGTCTAACAACGGAACTCGACAAACGAAATATTCTTCCCATTCATCAAGCCGGCTTCCGTACAGGGAAGAGCACGATGTACAATATCGTTCGACTCGAGAGATACGCACACGATCAACGCACCAAACGTAGACATACAGCAGTCATTTTTTTCGACATCAAAGCCGCGTTCGATTCCGTTTGGTTCGATGGATTGGTACACAAGCTAAATGACCTCCGGCTACCCGAATATCTTGTTCGATTTCTCGACAGCAGGACTGCGACGATCGAACTCGAAAATATTCTATCTCGATCGTTTACTCTCCATAGTGGAACACCGCAAGGCTCACCGCTCTCACCACTTCTATACATTATCTATACGAGTGATTCGATGAGTAGTATGTCTAGGTGTACAGAGCATGGGCTTTTCGCCGATGATACTGCATTGTGTACTTCGTCGAACACTATCACAAACCTATCGTCTCGTCTCCAACAATCAGTCAATGAGTTTTAACGCTGATGCGATGCGTGGAAATTAAGCATGCAACCTACAACCTACAAAAACTGAAATGATCTACTTCAGCCCCCATCCACGAAAGAAGTATAAGAACCAATTGAACATCAAAGTCGACAATCTCGACATCAAACCTCAAAAATCTGCTCGCTACCTAGGAGTGATATTCGATCACAAACTCGATTGGCGTACATATATAAGACAGGTCGAAGCGAAAACGGGTCCACGTATTGGCCTCCTTCGCTTTCTGTCGAGATCTACACCCGACTCGAACGACAAAATAATGATCAACATTTTCAAGGCACTAGTCCGTACTGTACTTACCTACGGCTATCCAATTCTCCAAACAGCAAATGATAGAATTTGGAACCGACTTTAAATCACTCAAAATAAAGCAATCAGAGCAGCGATGGGCTTCCCGTCGTACACCTCCGCAGACTTCATTCACCAAGAAAGTAACATCCCAAAAATCAAACAGTATGCCACAACTCTACTCGAACGATCAGTCTCACAAGCACAATTTCAAAATGACAAGCAACTAGAACAATTACTTAGAGATATCCATACTGCAATATATGAAAGTAAAAATTTGAATTTTTTTAGGCTTTGAAGAAGAACTTCAAAAATGCATAACTTTTTGAAGAACGATCGTAGAGTGCTGGGACTGGTCTCATTTTGTAGCCCACACTTTCCTCTACATTAGGCTATGCTCAGCTCAAAATTCGAAATTGTTTCAAAAAAGAGGGGAGGTACCCTTAAAGTCTTTTGAATGGACATTGGCATTATCATTATAACAAACTAAGTAAGCATTGTTTGAAAAAACTAATCCTCTATGGATTGTAGAGAATTAAATTGACTATCGAATGGTAAACAAAATTTTGTTTGTGTTTTATGCTAGCTGAGATAATCAAATTTTAATATGAAGATTTTGAAAAAATTTAAGTTTTTAATCTACTTTTTCAGGTACTTTAGAAAACGCTTTTTATTCAACCACTTTTCAGAAATATGTAGGGAGGTGAGCTCATTCAAATTATGACTGTTGAAAATTGTAGGCTGCTGATGGTACAAAACGAAAGGTCATATTTTGCTCGGATTTTGTACTCATTTCCTTCACCATTCCAGCTCATTTTCTCTCTCAACTTTCTCAAACATAATGGTCTAAACTTAGATGCGTTTAGTCTTTGGTTTCTGATGAAAATTTTCGAAAAAATAATTTTCTTCAAATTTTCATTGTAAGTTTAAATTATAGAAACTTAACTTTTTTAAAAATGAAAAATGTTTTTTTGAGTGTGAGATAGTCATATCGAGGTCTCATATGTTCCATTTTTATAAGTTGTTGACCCAAAACCAAGCCTTAATGCCTTCAGAACTTAAAGGGATAAGGTAGGAAAAAAGTCAAAAATAAACAAAAGATTTCTATAAAATGAGGCAGCATACGGTCTTTTTGGCTAGAGCCTGTTGTCTCAATTATTGTGACTTTCGGTACAAAATTTAAAAAAACATCTGACCAAATTAACAAATCCCAATTTAATAAAACTCATTAATTTTTAGCTAAAATATCTTTTAGGTTAGTAAAGAATTTTTCATTTATTTTCTTTGTGAATTGCCAAATGGATACGTTTCATACACATACATCATTAAATAATCGCTTCTTTTGACAGAATAAATCTCTAATATAAATTCATTAGAAAATAATGACTTTTTTTTGTCTCGTTTAGTTTCCTTGAACTTTCCTTAATCCTCGAGTATTCCTAACAATTTGAAACAAAAAAAAAAATGGCTAAAACCTGCTATTATGGTTTAAAAAGCTCTCATTTTTACATATCTTTGGTGCAAAATTTTCATACATTATATACCTACCTTGATTTCTGAATTTCAACCAATGAGGTGTTGGATATTCCTTTGGATAACGAGGTAATTTATCTGTTGAATTGATTAATTCAACGTCCATGCCCGCTTTTTTTGCAGCTACTAATTCTTTATCAATAACTTTCGTCTTATGTTCTTCTTTGGCAGGTATTAAATAACCATCCAAACGTTCAAAATCACATGGAATTTTTTTTGATAAAGTCTCAATAAAATCTACTGATGCCTTATTTGATTCACACACTAATCTTGATACTTTTTCACCATACACATATGAGACGTTTGCAAGCCATATGCATCGTTTTCACCTAAACTTTGTAAAAAGTTCAAATCGGTTTCAATCTTGTTCTCTAGTTGCACTCGATATTACCACTAGAGACCTTGAGAAGGGTGATAATTTCCATGCTATCCCTATTCACAGTTAGTGGTTTTTCCAAAATTTCCTTCTTGCATCAGGAGCATTGGAAACATTTTTTTCTTTTTCTAACCAGAATTTAATTGAGCCAAATGCGCCTCGAAAAGAGCTTTCAATTTTTATATAAGAAGTCTACGTTTTCATCTCTATTTTTTTTAGTTAAAGGACATGTTTAGCAGAAACTTCTTCCTTTGTTAAGACCGCAGTTCGAATTCAATGCTGAATTCATTTTATCTTTTAGATTCGTTATCGCACTAATGTATCTTATGCTTATCAAAAAGTGATAAAACAATTATCTTCATGGGTAGGTTATGCATTTGGTACATTCCAGAAAAAAAAATGAGATATTTTGCGAAATATTAAAGAATCAATAAAAACGAACTATTATTCTTTTCTGAAAACGAGGCGGCTCGAGAGAATG